TAAGCCCCAAACCCTAAACCCTAAACCCTAAAGCCCTAAGCCCCAAACCCTAAACCCTAAGCCCTAAACCCTAAGCCCCAAACCCTAAACCCAAAACCCTAAAGCCCTAAGCCCCAAACCCTAAAGCCTAAGCCCTAAACCCTAAACCCCTAAACCCTAAAGCCCTAAGCCCTAAGCCCTAAACCCGAAACCCTAAGCCGCGTGGGATCATAACATCTTGTCCAACCTGTAGCCCTGTATAGTGAGTAGGCCAGGCTTTAGGCATTGGGGTTTAGGGTTTAAAGGGGTTTAGGGTTTAGGATTTACATAGGGTGTAGGGTTTAGGGTTTAGGGATTTATGGTGTAGGATTGAGGGTTTAGGATTGAGGCTTGAGGGTTTTGTTGCTGTCTTTGAATGCGGCCCATCGACCCCTTTGCTGCACATGACTACGGCATACTTCATTTTTTGTTGGCAGGCGCAGCATTCCCAGAACAGCATCCCCCAGCTACGTCTTGGAAGGCCTTCATTTTCAAAAAAGTCTCAGAAAACGGCTTTTCATCGGTGAGCTTCACACAGCCTTGGGGACGTCGTCTTGCGTCCGCGCAGATTTCGTTTTCGCTGGCAAGCGCAGCATTTCATGAAATAAAGAGATTCCCCGTCTAAGCACCAAGTTTCTGAAGGAATTGAAGAACATCGATTCTTGCCAAATGGATTCTCTGCTGACCGGACGCTCTTGGAACACGAGCCTTATTATGGTTTGGGCATGGATGCTCTGGTGACCGAATGCTCTAGGAACACGAACGTTATCATGTGCTGGGCATGGATGCTCTGGTAACCGTGTGCCCTTGGAACACGAACGTTATTCTGGTTTGGGCATGGGTGCTCTGGTAACCGTGTGCCCTTGGAACATGAACGTTATTATGGCTTGGGCATATGGATGCTCTGATCTGGTAACCGAACGCAGTTGGGGCATCGATGTCATCATGTAACGGTACGCAGTTGCAGCTCGTTTTAGGCATGGATGCTCTGGTTACGGAAGGCGGGCGTGGCAAACGGAGGCGATGGAACCCTGAACTGGGCAGGAAAACACCCGATGTTATAACCTGTAACTGTTTCGTAATATCCTCACCGGAACGCTGAATCCTAAATCCCTAGATCCAGTTTCCACTTTACTTTCCATGTTCTTTTCCATATGATCCTCTATTAACCCTGAACCCTAAACCTTACCCCTAAACTCTAAATGGCGGGTGTAGTCGCGCTTCTGCAATTTGAGTCCGTTTCGGTCCATGGGAGGCAACACCCTAAACCTGAACCGCCAAACCCTGAATCCTTCCTGTAACCCCCCCATTTGTCTTCAGCTTGGTAGGGGCTATGCTCAAGCTAGGTATCACGCATAAAACTGGAGGTAATTGGGCTAACAAGATGGAACCCTAAACCAAACAAACCCTCAACCCACGTATATAACCCTATAGACCCTTGTATCTACTCACATCTCTCATACATCTCCCCATAATCCTAAACCCGAAGCCCTAAACCCTCAGCCCTAAGCCCCAAGCCCTACACCCCAAGCCCTACACCCTAAACCCCAAGCCCTACACCCTAAACCCCAAGCCCCAAACCCTAAGCCCTAAACCCGAAGCCCTAAACCAGAAACCCCAAATAAGCCCTATGCCCCAAACTCTGAACCCTAATCCTTTAAATTGGGTCGGCTACGGGTTGACCCTAAGGGTGGTTGTCAGAATTATAGTCACTTTTTGGATCCCTATTATAATACGGCACCTAATATTTAGGGTACCCCAAAAATGAGCCATAATTTTGACAACCACCCTAAATTCCTAAAAGTGGCCTCGACGAGAGGCACACGGTCCTGCGCCATGTGGACGTACGTTGGGTATGTCGCCTTGCGCGAGAAATTGGTTGTAGGTTACCAAAGAACCATCGAATGTTTCGGGTTTAGGGGTTCAGGGTTTAGGATTAAGGTATTTAGGGTTAAGGGATTTAGGGTTTAGGATCGTGGGGTTTAAGGTTTGGGGATTTTAGGGTTCAGAGTTTTGGCGTTTCGCGTGTCGATTCTTGCGGCTGATTGTGTTTGTGGCATATGCCAGGCATGCTGCCCGCGGAACGGAGAAGAAATTAGGGTTTAGGGTTTAAGATTTAAGAAACTACATGTCTAGATGCAATGCCAAGGTTTCGTTGACATTTCCACAGATCTGGTCCATCGTTGGAGGCTCTGTATAGCCCAGATCCATGATTAATAAACCCTCTCCCCTTAGTAGGGATTATAATAGGATCCTAATATTAAGGCCCTGAAAAGGAGGGTGTTTATTAATCATGGGTCTACATTACAAAGGCTTACATACCTCATGACATCTCCCAAGACGTCACCTGGGCGCTTCTTCAAACCGATGGGGGTACCCCGAGGTTCCCTGAGATAGTTACATAAGCTATAGTCTAAACTCCTAGTATCGCCCTTAATAACCTTTGTAGTAGTCCCCTATATAATCCCCTATAACACCCCCTTTAAGGAGTTTACACTATGGTACACATGGGGTTTAGAGTTTACCGTAGGGTTTCGGGTATAGAGGGTTTAGGGTTCAGGGTCATGGGAGGTTCTGAAGCAGCCCTTGGGTGGGGGAGGGGCGGCCGTAACGATGTCTAGCTGAGAGTGACGCAGCATCTCAGGCGCCTGAGCAACTCAGACCGCTGGCAAAAATCAACGACATGCGGAGCACCCTGAACCACAAACCCTAGACTCTAGACCCAAACCATGAACGCCCAAGCCCATGCCCCTAAACTCTGAATCCTCTTAACCCCCAACCAAAAGTTATAAGCCAGAAATCCTATTCCCAAGGTCCTAAACCCTAGGACACCCTAAACACTAAACCCTACAACCCCTCATCCTATGATCTGAAGACTGAAGCCCAAAGCCTGAATTCTTAGCTTTGAACTTTGCCTCAAGGGGTCCAGCGGTGGGATCCTCATACAATAATAACTTTTGTTTAGGTTATTAAATAACTGCATACTTTGGAGCCGTAAAACGGACTCCCAACCCCCAGAAATGCGCTGCCTAAACTCACTGTTCGGGCCTCAAGCATGCAATCACCTCGCCAAAAAAAATGAATAGCAACACACCAACCCCCTGATTCATCATCAAATCTAAGCTGCTAGTATAACCCCTGTGGTTGCCGCTTGACAAACTAACCCCTGTTTGAGATTTAGGGTTTGGGGTTTAGGGTTTGGGGTTCAGTGTTAACAAGGAACCCCAGAAATCTGGCTTAGGGTCTTGGGCGACTGGGTTGAGGGTCTAGGGTGGGAAACCTAAGAACATGGCAGGAACCTAGTTGGAATACATGGACCCTGGTAGTTTTTCCTATTGCGTTCCTGCAATATGCTTGGGGTTCCCTGCTCGGCGTCCCCATCAGAGTCTCTAAGCCCTAGACCCTAAACCCCAAACCCCATCAGCGTCCTTATCACAACCCTGCCTTGCACAGCTCGCAAGCCAGCGGACGGTAGAAATAGGAACCTGGCTTTAAGCTTTGCAGAGACCAAATGAACTATAAGGGGGGTTCTAGAGGAAATTATATAGGGGACTATTATATGGGTTATTAAGGGGGATACTAGGAGTTTAGACTACAGCTCATATCGCGTTGTCCTAGAAACCTAAGTAGCCAAGCAAAGAACCATTTATTACACTTTGGGTCCCAAAGTTGGTGCTAGTTAAAGCCTGCGATCTCCGGGTACACTGATAAAATGTAAGGTTGTTTTGTGAATGTTCGTATCAGAAGTCTTGTCGCTGTAAGGACTATGTTTACGACTATTGTCATATGTCTACTAGTATGTGTTTGTGCATATATGTCGTCCTCTATCTATCGATCTATCTATCTGTATATATATATATATACTTTGAGACTCCAGGACTATCAGGATTTAGCATGTAGGGAGTAGGGTTGAAGGATTGAGGTTGTCATCATGGTTGACACCCTAAACCCTAAACAGCCTGAACGCTAAACCCTCAGCCCTAAGCCCAGAACCTCACTTGGGGAACTTAAGTGCTGCAGAGCAGGGGCCTAGAAGGCTTTAGGGTTTAGGGTTTTGAATTTTTGGGCGCGGAATACTGTAATTTGTCTCAATTCTTCAGACTCAAAGGTTCTGGGTTGGGATTTTTGGCTTCGCCGTGGATCCGTATGCCAGGCTCCGAGGTTAAAGTTTGTTGGCTTTGGATTTTCAATGATGTTGTGAGGTCTCGGGCTTCGGGGGCCCTTAGGAGTCGCCAAAAGCCGCCCCAGACACAAATTTCCACCCGGATAAAAACGAGAAAAACCAAAAGATAATAATAGTTTCTGCAGGCAAACCTTAAGTCCTAGCTGCGACGCAATCGACCCTACACATTTGCCGGATCCTCCCATTATGGCAGTGATCTTGCTTGCGGAAACTCAGGAGGACATCCTACAGGACACTGCGCTAGAAGTAGGCACCTTAACATTAAAGATGAAGGCTGAGGCAAGGCCATGTTGATACGATGTTCTAAGGATTACTAAGGATCGCTAGCACCTAGTAGCCTCACACAAACCAACTTTAACTGTCTGTTTAGGGTTTTGTTTTAGGTGACACGTCCCCGAGTGACCCCTGACGAAACGCACATTCTGTCCTTGGGGACATAATCTCGTTCCTGTTCCCAGAGCATACGCTGGCCAGAGCATCCATGC